CATAAAATCTGTTCCTAGAAAAGGTTATGGTTCTTGAATGCCCGGTTTAGTCATCTCCCATGCCAGAGAAGCTAAAGTGGTATTGAAGGGGTTTCCCTCCTATGATCCTAAGTTCCATATCTAAATGGAAAACTGTGGCTCAGGAACATTGACCATTTGAAGCATTTTATGGTTAAAGTGAGTCCTTGGAAAAAAGAATGCAGCTCTCCCTCACTAGGCAGAAAAGACACCTGGTGTCAGGCTAGAGCAAGTGCGCTGCACCCTGAAAAGGATTGCGGTATCTTACACTTCCAATGCTTAAAAGTGATCAATTTAATTCATTGATATTAGTATATTCAAGTACTTATCAAGTTATATATATAATAACATATAACACCTATAAATATACAATATTGTTCTTCAATTACACAGTACTGCAGAAAGTGTACATGGCTTAAGCTCGATGCTTTAAAAGGAAACACTTACAACTTTACGAATCAAAGGCTCTAGAATTGGCTCCAGTAAATGCTGGACTGTGTTCAACTTCATCATTTCCAGAACCGCACTGAAAATCAATGGTACACAGTCATGAGAAAGAAACCAGATGAAAACTATCATTGTTCTGATGGATATCATAATTTATAAGAAACAGAAGGAGAATGTATGAGTTTGCTTGTGATTGAATAATCAATCTTGTTCCAGACATTGATATCAAACATAAATCCGCTTCAGGGTTCAGACTCAATTAACAATAGCAACCCTTTAGGCCTTTATTCCCTCATTTTCTATATTGAATGTAAAGAACTTAACTTCTACTCAAAAACAACTGTTTCAATGTTTGATTTCCATTGACTTCGAGCAAATGCATTCATCTTTCACAAACAATGCACATTCATTCGATATTTCCAACTTATCGATGCTCTAATCACAAGGTTCACTTCTTACAAGGAATAAAGTTTTGGGAATTATAGAATCCATTTCGGACAAAACACATGCACCCAAATCGATTCTCCACGATATTAAGCCAAAAGCAATGAAATTCAACACAAGCATCTCAATCAAATTTCACAAAAGCATCACTAAGCAAAACTCAATTCACTTCTAATCCAAAACTCCCACTTTTCCTAGGAAGAAATAAAATTTCAATGACACACAAGAGTGAGTAACATTCACCAACACTTCCACAAACCAAACTAAACCCAGTTCATTTTATATCGAATATTTCCAGTTTGTAACGATTAACCCAATACAAACAAAGCAAAAAGAATCTGAAACAAGATAAAAAGGTTCATACTTGTGAAAAGTAGGAAGCCTTCTGCGTTTGTCCTCAGGACTGCCAGTCCCTTCTGATCGACCCTTACCATCTTCTTGGTGTCTCTTCTGCGACATTATCAAAAGCCCAGCAAGCACTACGGAACAGTGGCTGTGTCACTAAACGAACATGAACAACAACAACAACAACAACAGCCAAAAGCACCAACATGCGATAAGCAATAGTTATTGGAATAATTCCCCACGTATAAATAAGAGAGGAAAAGGGTTCAAATAATAAATGGCAATCAATGAGAAAAGTCCAAAACTTGGCTCGAGTGCTTTTGCGGGCATTTACCTTTACATTATCAGAATTTGGCTGCGTCTGGGATGCTTCTTCTTCGACATTAACGAAACTCAACAGCCATCTTTTAATTTTTGTTTGTTTTTTTTTTTTTCTTTTGCCTTCTCCACTGCCACGCAGGGGGGACACTCACTCGCAGGTGTAGATTAGGGGGGAGAGAGAGAGTGGTGGGGGAGGAGATGGCGCGTGGGGCCCACAATAGCGCGTTTAAGGACTGGTAAAAGTGGGGCCCTCTGGACATGGATTGCAATTGGTTTTATGTTGGCGTGGAAAATGGCTCGGTGATGTGTAACTGAAATTAAAATGACTAAGCTTTGTTTGTGGGGTCCAGTGGGTCCCGCTGGTTGGCATTGGATACTTGTTTTATCATGTGACATTTTAATTACAAAAAACATTTTCAGAAACATATTGAGTATTTGTTCTTCCTCCAATTCTACAATATTGATCGAGTACTTGGCATACCTAACATTATCATACAAACACAATTTCCGAAACAAACAAAAAACATTATGAAAATATAAAATATAAAAATTTGTATCAAATTATTCACAAAACTCCATACACCAATAATGTGAGGAAATTAACAAAAAATTTCATTAAAAAAACTGTAATTTTCGACTACATGCTTTGCAGGGTTCTATTGCTCATGAACTTAAACCTAGAAAGATAAAACATGAGGAAGGAGAAAGGAAAAAACTACCTTTTTTTTTCCATATGTTTTAGGTTGACCTGTTAAAAGATTCAATAATCTAAGCACGTGGTGGCATGAAAATGGCGTAAAATAGCCTTTTTATTCATTAATTATATATATATAATTCTCTTATGCGGATATTCAGACGTTATTATTATGCGGACGCCATATATTTTGTACTACTATTTTTTGCTTTCATACATATTTACAATAACATCCGCAAAATAATATCATGTCGACATCCAATATATATATATGTATGTATATGTATGACTCTATGAGATATTAACGTCAAGTCCAGGACCAAAGAACAAGCTGCCATAACAATTAAAAACCTTCGATTTTTTCCACTTTAATATCGTTCGTCTTTATCTCGACATCAATTTCATGAATTGGATTTTAACCTAAAGCTTAATTAACAAATAAGTAACGTTGTGACGAAGAAGATGACCCCATCGTCATAATGTTTCCCTGTATTTTTCGTCTGCTACAAAAAAAAAGTTGTCACATATCACAAGATCCTCATCCCATTTCCAGGAATCTTCCTCTCCTTATGTACTAATTAGTACGTTTTGATTTTGAAGCACGTTACGAAACAGACTAGCATACAAATCCCCAAATGATGCTTGTCTTCTTATGACAACTTATAAACATAAAAATGCGAGGGAGGCCAATTGATTAGGGTTGGGAGCCCGTCTGCTTGTACCGAAGTTCGAATCTTCCTTTCCGATAGAATTTTAGAGAGACGTGATTTAAGTTAGTTGGTCAATGCAGTAAGTTGACCCTCTTTCATCCGAGTTCAAGTTCCTTCTATAAATATATTAATTTAAAATAATTCAGACTATAACCAAAAAAAAAGTTTGTTGAAAAATCGAAAATTGACTTTCTCCCATGGATAAGGAGTAAAATTTTGATGGAGAAGATAATCATTGCACAAGTTTGTGTTTTTCACGTTCGTAATAGAAACAAGAAACAGCAATATGCCGATTGCCGGGAAATCTTTACTTTACCTCTGTGTCGAAAAATGTGGGCATCTTTTACTTCTTTTTTTTATGGGCCCATAGGCTGATTTATTAAAATGATGGGGCCCATTTCGTTTCTCATACCTTTCGCGGGGACCAGCGGGCCTGTTGCCTGACGTGGGTCGCGTGAGTAGTTATGAGATTCTCGAGCTTTTGCCACTTGTCCACTTGGTGGGTTCGAATTTGTATACCAGTCGTGTGATGTCCAGAAAAAATCATGCAGGCGAGGTGGGGAGAGGAAGTGGGCCCATAGCAGCAAGTTACGTGCTATTGTGATATGATCATTTGAGAATATCTTTTAGGCATTAGTCAATTTGACATAAAAAGACTAAAGTTTTTGTTTTGTTTTTTTAATTTTAAAAACCATAGGTCTCAATCACATTAGTTGATTGTTCACATTAGTTGATTGTTGCGAGCCACATTAACAAATCACATTATGTATTGCGACTCGAGACATGGTTCAGGATTAAAATATATTGATGTTTAGGTCGAGGAGTCACAAATAAAAGCTATACCGAGCATAATTAAGTGTCAGTTTGACATTGTTTATTTGGGGTGATAAGTGATTTTATAAAAAAATTTGGGAAGCCTAGCTCGTTTGGTAAACTATGAGAAAATCACTTATTGTTAGAAATTGCTGTGAGAGAAAATTATAAAGGAAAATATCTAATGAGGTGCTTTCCTTTTTTGATTATATATTAATCAGTTTTGAAGAGGTGATTAGTTTAATAATTATATGTCAATAATTTTATGAATATGTGGGAATCAGTACCAACAACACTTTTAACAAAAACTTTACCAAACGCCAAACTGTTTTTTCTCACAGTTGATTTATCTCGCAACAAATTTGACAATGATTATTTTCACAACACAACAATGCCAAACTAGCCCAAAAGTGTGAGATTATGATTGATTTCTAACTGTTGATGCATACGGCTTCATTGGAAGATCTATATGGACATGTTGAAAGTTTTGAAAAAATTTCGGAGAATTCTAATGGGGCTTTTGAAGAGATACACCGGAGGCCTATGTTATTGTTGAGCCTTGAGATTGGATAGAGAAAAATGGGCTTGAGATGGAGGGTTTGATTCCAAATTTTAGATGGGTAATCCCTAAGGAATCCAGGGCCTATTTCTATTCTTGATGTTAGGTTAACCCATATTGGGCTCTATCCCCCCTTGCCTCCTTTATCTGATATTAGGTGCATGATTTGGGTTAAGTCTACGCCCCTAGTTGAAATGAAAGTCTGGGCCTATTCTTGTTGTGTAGTCTCAAAATATTTGCATGGCTGCAATCTTTCACTGCGTTATGACCAATTTACCAAACTTAAATAAATAAAATAATAATAATATATTTTTTTTATTAAGAGAGGCGATAGTATAACACACTACACAGATACTACATTTGTTGATGGAGCAATTGTTTCAAACCACTACATTAGTTAATCCTTTGCATTTACCGAACAATTTTAAGAGGAAATTAAGACCTTAATTTAAGAAGAAAAAACAAATGGTGGGTAATTGTGAGGATAATACCATAAACTAATACCAAACTTCTACTGATCATATAGCTCACACAACAATAAACATGCCTCATCTAGCTCCCATCTTTCTTCTTCTTATTCCTTTAAGCTTAAGCTTAATTACCCACTAAGCATAAGCTTAGGGGCACTTGGTTTTGTTGCCATGGGTGGTCATGTCAGTGTAGCACTTGCCACAGAGTTCTCTGTTCCCAGAAGTGCCAGGCGGCACACACTTGCACCTCGCACAGCACGTACCGCACGCCCTGCTGCAAATCTTTGGCCTCGAGTGAACGCTGCACCTCTGCTTGCACAGCCCTCCACAGTCTAAACAACACAAACAAGACATTATATATAAACTCAAAATTAATTAATTATATTGGCATTTTACTGTTTTATTTTTGCTATATTATTTTGTCTTGTGCGTGTGGAAACAATCAACAGCAAGCAAGGTCAAGGAAAAATTATATAAACCAAACCAACCTATGTCTTGCATTAGCCGTCTGCTTCCACCTCTCACAACAAGCTGCCAAAAAAAAACCCAAAAACATTTATGTTTAATCATAAAACTACAAAACAGAAGAGAAAAAATCTTGCCTTTAAAACATTTTAAACCAAAAAGAAAAGGGGCGTAGTTTTTTTTTACTTGCCTGCGCAAGATGAGGTAATTCTTCTTCAATCTTGATATCAGATGAAACCTGCATGGATGAACGAACATCATAGCTCCAGTTAAACCAATAACTCATTTTTATTGTTTATTTTTCTTTATATATGCAAAACCATAGAAACCAAACTAGTCTTCTGTACCTCAGTAAGGCAGAATAGAAAAACTCCCAGCCAAAGAATCACGCGTACTGCTGCCATGGCTGTAGGCTATAGCAAGCTAGCTATCAGGCACTGGAGCTGAAGTGGTGATATGAATCCCCAGCATCATGCTCTTTATAGAAGATCCCTGTGCACTGAATTTACCCAAGTGGACACTTCCTTTGCTTGTAATTACGGTTCGACCTTGCATGCAGAGGGGCAGCTACAGCTTTCTGCTGCACCATTATATTTTACCACTAATGCTACTTGTACAAAACCTCTTTTCTTTTTGTGCTCCTATAAACTACAACTTGTTTTTTGGAACTGTATTTTCTCAGATAAATTTATGTCACGCCCTGTGTTCATAAATCTTAATGCTTTGCTGATTAATTGCAGACAGCTGGACGTCTATGTTTTAGGTTAGCAAATCTGTGGTGGGCTACTATAGCAGCAGCACAGTCACAGTCTGAGTCATTTTCAAGGCCACGTGTCGATCTTCCTTTTGGTGGTCACCGAGAGTTGGTCCTCTTTACCCGGACCTAGGCCTCGTTCGTATGACCGATGGCAAAGGAAAGCCAGAGGGAAAAAAACTCGCTGAGCTCAAACTCATCAAATTGGGAAGTGGCACAACTTTAGGGATGGGGTTTCCGTACCATTTTTTGTCTTTTTTATGAACACTTAAAGGGCTCCAGCTGGCCTTGAAATTTGGGATGTACTTTAATTCACCAACCTCTGTTCCCACCTGGCTGTCTCCCACTGTTTTGCCAACGACTCCAACAATTATTAAGTTTCTGGGTTTAGGGTTACTGCAGTACATTTCATATATATATTTTGGGTGGTGCCTCTAGCATTTTCCATATATTTTTGACAATGCGATATTCTAAACGACTCTAATGTACCGAAAGTGAACCAAACTCGGGTGTAAAGTAAAGACTCACCGGCTTGGTTGGAGACCTCAACCTGGAAAGAAAGTACGAGATAGGCCTGAAAATTATATTGAAACCGTTTCTTTCTGATCAATGATTAAGGCATGCATGGTATGTAACATGTTGTAGAGATGAAGAAAGAGTAAAAGGGTATAGGCAACTAAATTCACTCAAATAACAAATTAGTGAACCACTTCATCACCCAAAAACTGTAGACAGAGCATTGTTCATATTTGGTACATTGCTTGAGAATCTGTATGGTAAACTTAACTGCACACTCTGCTATTCACTTCTAAACCATGTTTTCCTAACCTCTCACCTTTCTTTCACACTCTATTCCTATAATCTGATCATTTTTCCAGTTACAGAATTACAATTATTTTTTTTACCAGGGAATCATATGAACAACCATAGCCCGCAGTAGCCTGCCATGCTACACGATCTTCGTCTACAATTACTTGAGTCAACTCCACATTCATCGTCTGTTAAACACCTGTGGTCACTACGAGCATCATGGACATGGCAAGCGCTCTCAACTTGTTGGCCGCTACATTCCCATGAATTCAATGTTGTAGGAGGACATACTTGCTTTGACATTGAACTTGTCTGTCGTGCTTGGTTTCCCGTCTGCACAAGTAAAAACATTTTTTCAAAAGTTTATGTTGGCTCAAAGGAAATCTGCACCCCCAAAAAAAAAACTGGTGCATTTTCAAGAAGCATATATTCAGTTTGTTACGGATTGGTTTCCAACTATAAAATACTATGCATGCCTTTAGGTAGAAGCAACACCTTGAGAAGAGTCCGGTTAGTCTGGATGTAGGTCTCTGGAAGTCTGTCATGCCAACTGCTTAACACTGGAAGGGGGTGACCCTCAGTTGTGAAAATATAATTTTTTTCAACCAAAAAAGAATCATCGAACAGAAGAAATAGATACTTGCACCTATAAAAAAACAAAATAATTTCTGATATATGTTAAAGTGAAACAATTTATGGCTCTGGGACAATTTTCTCTGTAGTTTCAAAGTGCAAAGGGAACAACTCTTACGTTTCAGCAAGGAAGAAACTATGCTGATGATCTTCCAACTGCATAGTTGTGACATCTCTAATGCTAGCAAAACCTCCATCCACTTTTGTGTATAAGTTCAGAGAATTTACAATTGATTCTCCCACTTCTATGTACCACGGATCTGATTACATGCAACACAGAAACAAATACGATGCAAACAAATCAGAAAGTTAAAAGGAGCAGCTAAGGGCCTTGCCACAATTCGCAGAAGGGTTAATTTTTTTGGTTCCTTATAACATCTTGATTAAAAGCAACTAGCATCTGAGAGTACTGAAATGTCTGAATGCTTATAAAAGATTGCCCGGAAATTAAGCTCCATGTAAATTGAAGATAACTAATAAGGAAAGATATCAGACCTTTGGTAGCTTGATACAAGTAGAATGTTGATTCTGCCAATTCAGGGCGCAGGGGATAATATTTTTCTGTGGGATGCAACATTTGATGGTCCAACAAATATCTATATGATTACAGTTCATATTAGACCATTTTCATTTTTTCCCTTATGAAAATAAATACTGCAGCGACAGGAACCAGCCATAGAAACTAAGAAACAAGTCAATAGTTACTTACAGACTATAAGATTAGAGTCTATAATGAGAAAAAGGATTTTGAAAAGCAGAATACCTCTCTGGTAGTACTCCGTACTTTTTCCATACATAGACGAACTCACGGTGTGAGGAATTTGCAGCTGCAATATCACCTACAAGAACCTAAAACCATAGTTCATATCTAAAGATTAGAAGGCTCTTTCTGAGGTTTGAAGTCATCAAGTAAAATGGCAAGGTTTTAAATTCCCTGCCTGTAGGCCAGGCCAAAATGCCTGAAGGCTTGTCAGCTGCCAATAAGTTGCTTTTCCTGTCCTCATATCAGCTTCATGGTACCTAATTACAGTAACATGCTTGATAAAAAAAATGTTGCAGTCCACTCATCTAAATTTAAATGCATAGCTAGAGTTCAATTTTTTAACACTTTCAAAGTACCAATAAAAAATTGAATAAGGCTAAGGGAGGTAGTGCTGTACCATGGACCATGTCTGAAATATTTCTGCACAGCAATATATGCAGAATGAAACATTCTCCAGAACTCCTCCTTTCCAAAAAGAATGTGGGCCTTAAATAGATACTCATAAAATGAATCAACCCCTAAATGAAGCAACACATAATCCAACATCAGAAACATCACACTCTATGCATTCCAGATGCAACAAGGAATGCTTTTTAATGGTGTGCATCACAGCAATTCATCATTGACAGACTGCCAAAGGAAATATTGGCCTGTGCACTATTTGGGAAAGCCAATAGACTATGTAGCATATAATGTATTACGTTGAAAACCTCAAAGCCCTCGGAAAACCTACCAGCCCCAATCCCAGTTGAATACTCAATCCATTCCCCAGTTGATACATCCAGTGTTGTACCAAGTAAATTCAATGAACTCCGCATGCTCCATAATTTACGAAGAGCACGTAAAGCTGCAGATTCGTATTTGGGGTCTCCAGTCAATCGGGATAATGCTCCCATTTCCAGAATTAGAGAACCTGAACTCATACAGAGAATCAAGACATTCAGGAATGCACATTTATTGATGTCCTCATCTCAATACTGCAAAAGAAAGCCCCTCACCACACCCTGAAGTGCTTGTTTCAGTAGTCTCATTCTCCATCACTCCATACTGTCCACAGAATTTTGCATTGATGCGGAGTCATATATCCTTCTTACAAACAAAACCACCAGACCGTTTTCATATAATTTTAAAACTCGAAAGGTGAATTCTTGAAGAGATTACACCTAACTGTATTTTAGACTGATGATAACAATTTGGAAATAATCATATCATGCATACACCCCAAAAATCAAAATGTAATTCGTAATGGACATCAGCATATCTCAGGTAGTACCTTTAAGTTAACCCATGCATATGGCAACCCAGTGGGTGTGTTAAATGCAGGTAGAAAGCGTTTCCCCAAATCCTCGGCCAAAGTAAGCAGCTGATTTTTGTAAACTCCTTTACCCAACCTGTCCGTGGAATCAGTCGCAAGTAGGTGAGCAGAAACAAGTCCTCCAAGCACTCTTATGTTGCACTGCACAATAGCAATTAAATGGAAAAGAGAACCATTATAAAACTTCAAGTACATAACTTGACGACAATAACAGTAGCTACATCACATTTTGAGCAATCTGAAGATACGAGAATAATGAAGTTCCAGGATCAGCATAACTTAACCAAAATAATTTTTTTCCACAAACTCTTGAATAGATACCTCAAAAAGATTTACCCTCGCATCGACATTGAACGTTAAATTTTCAGAAAGCCAAACGACTGCGCTTTGAAATTCAGTGTTGTTACCCATAATGACAAGGCTGAGAGAAAGTTTTTGCATCAGACTGAAACAACAATGTATATCAAATGGAACAGAAAGCATATAAATTTAAATTGCAGAACTGTATCACTGACAACAAATCGGTTGATAGCAAACCTGGACAATGATTCTATAAGTGTAAGAGCAGATCCACTATAGTCTTGAGGTAGGCGTTCAAGCTGAAAAAGGGGAAACAAACACTTCAATTTACTTTTGGAACTAATCATAATTCACTTTATCTGCAGATATACAGTTACCTTCAGATTTCCAAGCTCACTAAGAGAGTCCGTGAAACTTTTACTGAGAGGCTTTAGCTCATCATGCTGCAAAGAATAAATAGTTACCATATCATTCACCAGAAGTGCATAATCTGAAAGAACAATGGAGGAGAAAAGCTAACCGGAAATGCATGGATCATGTAGTTGTCATATGCATGGTAAAACCTGAAAGGAGAGAAACAACATTCCTGTTAGAACCTTGTTATATGCACAGGAAAATTCACCTACAGCTTGACCATTATAAACAAATTTTCAGGCGATATTCATAACATGTATTCGCTCCAAATTGATCAGCACCCTTCAAAGCTTGAACATAAAGAAAAGAAAAAGCTAAAATTTATATTAAAAAAAACTAACGGAGCCGAGGCAAACCAAATAGCTGGGAATGCCTTAATTTCCCCAAGCTCAATACTTCAAGATCTTAAATTTCTAATTTCCCCAAATACCAAATGAAGCATCAAATATCAGTCCCACCAAGCAGTTATCTTCACTTTTGTCAAATATCCATACTTTTTCAAGTTAAAATAAAAAGAAGCCCTTTTTTTTCTTTTTCCCTACAGACCAACTAATTGGTACTTATTAAGCTAAACTCAAATCTCAGATTAGTGAGCAAATCACAGATAGCCATCAAACTAAATTGAAAAATAATGAAGAATTGACGAAACTGAAAGAAAAAGAACCAAGGCAGTGAAGGTGAAATTTGACATTACATTTTGTGGACTTTATCTCTGAGGCGTCTCTTCTTAGCTGCCCAACGAGCATCAGATTGCGAGGTCGATAAGTTTATGATGGCGGGAGAGAGCAGCAGGAGCAGCAGAACCCATGTCATAGATTTGAGCGGCAACATGACCGTTGCTCAATTGGGATGCCCAACGAGAGATGCAGAGAAAGTCTCTCACCTGAGAGAAGCGGGTCTTTAAGCTTTGCGTTTCAGGCGATTGCTGAAGACGGTACTGTCGTGCCAGTATTAGAACAAGAGTCCATTGATTGACTTCCACGTAAGCAAATAAAGAACAGGTGGAATTATTTGATTGGTGAGAGAGTGTCATCATTTTTATTTTTAAAAAACTGTAAATTATATTTCGATGAAATTTAAATCCGAGAAGAAGAAAATAAATACGATTTAAATCCTAGAATTTCATAAAGATGAACATAAAAATAGATGTTACCAAAATTGAGTTTAGACTAGATTGGTCCTCTACCAAACCTTGAGCCACAATGGCATAAATGGAAGAAATTATAAAATACTACGATAATATAGTCACATGGTATATCTTATACACATGTTATAATAAGGGTGAACGACATTGTTTATTTTTCTTTTTTTAAGAAATAGTATCAATAAAAATTCACTTTTATTATAACCACGTATACAAGAAAACCGCTCAGAATACATTGAGTTATGTCAGTCTCTTTTATGTTTTAATAATGGGGGCCAAGACTTGTGGCCAACAAAATTTGCTTGTGATTTTTGGTAAGTTGTAAACATATTTGCATGGAGCAATATTTAGGTAGCTCTTGCAATTCTGTATATATATATGTGAGTTTTTCTTGGTTAATTATAATTTATAAGTTAATGCCTAAGTTAGGAAGAAAGTTGTTTTGGAGACGGTTGATGGGCAATCTAGCCTTCATTTGTGTGTGAGATAGGAATGAGTCATAACATAAGCTAAAAATGCCATTAGTTTTGTCCTAACATTATGTATGCTTCTTTGTAGCTTTGTTCTCAACCCTAACCTTTGATAAATAAATAAAACCTTTGATAATCTTGACGACAATCACTAAGGCTGCCTAATCAGAATCAGTTGGCAGCCGTTCTCTCCGGTCCAACGCACTCCTCGCTCGAAATTAAATAGCATACCAAAACCCACGTATGTACACTAAAAAAATCCATCTCTATATGCAAAAATAGCATACTAATTATATAAAAAAATCTAAAAAAGAAAAAAAGGACGTATTTGCCTTTCAACCCGTCCCTTGCATGCATGGTAGGTGTAATAACAGCACATCAAAATCCCCTAAAACCCCTCCCATCCACAAAACATCTACACCACCTTATTCCCCCCTTCCCTCCATTTTTCTCCAACCTTATTACATAATTTGCCTTCTCTTTCCTACCTCCACTGAGGAAACATCTCTCGGGGGAAGAACCAGGTCTCCTCAAGCCCTGATCTTCCTCTATCATCATCATCATCTCTCTCTCTCTCTTTCCAAAATCAACCATGGCTGTTCCTATACTTCTCCTCCTCCTCTTCTTCTCCATCCCCTTCTCCGAATCTAAGCTCGACGAAGACTACTACAAGCAAACATGTCCAGACTTCCAGAAAATTGTAAGAGAAACCGTGACCCTAAAGCAAGCCGCCCAACCCGCCACCGCTGCCGGCACTCTCCGCCTCTTCTTCCACGACTGCATGGTCGAGGGATGCGACGCCTCCGTCTTCATCGCCTCCAACCATGTCAACAAAGCTGAGCGCGACGCCGACATCAACCAATCCCTGTCAGGTGACGCCTTTGAGGTGGTCGTCCGTGCGAAGACTGCGCTCGAGCTCACCTGCCCGGGAATTGTGTCGTGCGCGGACATTCTCGCGGAGGCCACCCGTGACCTCGTCACAATGGTCGGCGGGCCTTTCTACCCCGTCAAATTAGGACGAAGAGATGGACAGGTGTCCTTAGCGTCCAAGGTTGATGCAAACTTGCCAAAAACAAACCAAACCATGGATGAGATTATCAAGCTATTTGCTGACAAAGGTTTCACAATCGAAGAAATGGTGGCTTTGACAGGTGGACACACAATTGGGTTTTCTCATTGCAAAGAGTTCACCGATAGGCTTTTCCATTACAGCCCGACTACACCAACAGACCCAGTAATCAACCCAAGATTCGCCGAAGGGTTGAAGAAGACTTGTGCTAATTACACAACTAACCCTGCCATGTCTGCCTTCAACGACGTCATCACACCGGGCAAGTTTGACAACATATATTATCAGAATTTGAAGAGGGGGTTGGGGCTGTTGTCTTCAGACCATGCACTTGTCAAGGACCCAAGAACACTGCCTTTGGTGGAGTTGTACTCTAAGAACCAGGAAGCGTTTTTCAAGGCTTTCGCTCACGCAATGGAGAAGCTTGGCCATCATGAGATCAAGACCGGACAACAGGGTGAGGTGAGGCGGAGGTGTGACGCGTTTAACACGATTCAGGCTTAGATTATTTGATGAAGAAGATGAAGATGAAGATGATGAGATGAGATGATTGTTGTTTGTAAAGGGTTTTCATTTGGCCATGGGATATATAAATTCGTCACTTCAGAACAAGGGAGAGTTTTTAAATCTTTTTTCTTAATTCTCTTTCATATATGTGTTGTGACGATGATAATGATGGTACACGTACGTTCATGATTATATGATATTTGAGTATATATAGACGTTACAAATTTAATTTGAGATTGGAAGTGTGATGAAAGAAGGAATTTTTTATATCACTCTCCATCGGGTTTAATGGAAGTGTCATGACCAATACACACACACACACATATATATATATGCTAGCTATATCTCTCAAATTGACAATACATAATGTCATCTCAAAATCAAAACTTATTAGTTAAAATGTTTTTTTAGTAAATTACAGTATTTGATCTCTATCTAGAGAAGATAGTAAGTATAAAATATTGATGAAATCAAATAAGTAACAGGGGAAATGAAAAAGAAAAAGAAAAAAACTCACACACCGCAATTGTGTATCTATATATATATGATTTTTGAACAAAAAGACTGAGCATATCCATTGCTAAATCCTTCTCAGTTTTCAGACATGATATATAACATTAAGATGTGTTGTTTATAAAGGCAGGGGAAAAACGCACTAACAGGCACATCACACAGATCCAAAAGAAAGTGGTCAATGAAAAACACCATCTTTTTACAGACTAACTATAAACATCATCTTTGCACAAACACCTGCATGCATGCATGACAAATTTGAACGTCAAAAGAATTGCATCAATCAATGCAAGCATGAGCTTGGAACATTTGAAAATCGTCATAGTACGTACGTATACTCACCCGGAAAATCATCTCTCATGAAGTTGGAACATCAAAAAACACAAGTCACCTATCATCCATTTCCACCAGCGTCAATCCCCATTGCAGAGCGTGTATATATATATATGTGTGTGTGTGTTATTTTTCATTAGCTTTTTAATTTTGAAAGTGGAAAATAGGAACTTTTGGGAACAAAAGTTGAAATGGTTATGAATAAAACGATCTAACTAACCGTAAAGCGACGAACAGCTAAGTAAGTCAATGTAAATACCAGCCTCAGGCCAAAGAAAAGCTCCCACAAACCGAGTTGTAGTTTCTAACAAGATCAGTTGCTTTTTTCAGCTGTAGATACTTCTATTCAGTTACAAGTACAGCTCAAAGTTGTTACTTGTTAGTCAGTTTTTTATCACACTTCATTAAAACAGTTTGTACTATATTTTGTATAAATACACACCCCTTAATTTTCAGTACTCTTCAATCATTCAACAAAAGACATGCTTGGTTTCCTATAGCTTTAATAACGAGACAAAGGAAGATCATATCTTCCTCCTCCTCCTCGTCATCATCATCTATCATCTCTCATCTCTCATCTCTTTCTCGAGCAATGGCTCTTCCAGTACTTCTTCTCCTTCTCTTCATCACAATCCCCTTCTCAGAATCCAAACTCTCCATGGAATATTACAAAAAAACATGCCCCGATTTGGAAAGCATTGTACGTGACACCGTGACCTCAAAACAAATGGCCAACCCCACCACCGCCGCCGGCACTCTCCGCCTCTTCTTCCACGACTGCATGGTCGAAGGCTGCGACGCCTCCATTCTCATCTCCTCCAACCACATCAACATCGCAGAGCGCGATGCCGACATCAACCAATCCCTCTCCGGGGACGCCTTGGAGGTCGTGGCACTTGCCAAGACCGCCCTCGAGCTCACCTGCCCAGGCATTGTCTCCTGCTCTGACATCCTCGCCCTAGCCACACGCAACCTCGTCACCATGGTCGGCGGCCCGTTTTACAACGTCCGCTTGGGACGAAAAGACGGAAAGGTTTCTCAAGCTTCAAGAGTGGAAGCCAATCTCATCAGAAGCAACCGAACCATGGAGGACATCATCAACTACTTCGCGGTTAAAGGCTTCACGATCGAAGAGATGGTGGCTTTGAGTGGTGGACACACAATTGGATTCTCCCATTGCAGAGAATTCGCGGACAGAATTTTCAATTACAACAGAACCACACCAACAGATCCTGAAATGTACCCAAACTTTGCTGAAGGGCTGAAGAAAACTTGTACCAACTATCAAACGAACACCGCCATGTCTGCTTTCAATGACGTGATTACACCGGGGAAGTTTGATAATATGTATTATCTGAATCTAAAGAGAGGGTTGGGGCTGTTGTCTTCGGACCATGCACTTGTTAAGGATCCGAGGACGAGGCCGTTTGTGGACTTGTACGCTGCCGACCAGGCTGCTTTCTTCAAGGCTTTTGCTCATGCGATGGAGAAGCTTGCCCATCAGGGAGTCAAGACTGGTCGCAAGGGTGAGGTCAGACACAGGTGTGATGCGTTCAACTTCATTCAGTCTTAGAAGAAGATTGTTGTCAGCCAAGATTGAATTCACCAGACAACAAGAGAGAGTTTTTTATTTGTCGTTTTACATTCATTGTATCAAGATTATTATAATGATGATATATGCATGATTATATGATATTTGAGAAGTTTGCCACATTTATAATACAAGTAATTTCATTGAAAGAAGGAAATGGTTAATTTCTTTTTAAAACTCAATTTTATTGTTTTTAAGATAAAATTCTAACAGTTGAGTCTCAATGAACTTAAAATTATTCTTGGAAATGATAAACTCCAAACATCCAAAAATAAAATATCCTCTCATATGTGCACAACCTCAAACCCATTATTGTTGACTCGTTTGTAAGATTCTACTATATACACTTTCCTGCTCTTTATATGTTAAGGATTAAATTCCTTCATAAGTTTGACTTTGCAATTGGATCAAAGCGAATATTCCACCTGGTCCAAACCACCATGTGCCACTTTTACTCTTTTTGTTATCATTGTTTAGACTGCAATTCAATATTTTTAGTTTCCTCCAATATTTTACTTAATCAAAACAAAATACCAAATTGTTAAATAAGAACAACAATCTATTTTTTAAGGTGCTTATATTCTTTAGTCCATAGACAGTTTGGAATTATACATGGTACCGTGCTTTTCATTTCACTTTAAATACAATTCAGGCTAATTTTTTATTGTTAGAAAAAAAGAAAAATAAAATAAAAACATTGAAGTGACACAAAATATTCATGTCCAATTTCGCAAAATGATTGTGAATGTTAGGTAGGATTTATTTCATAGCAAAAATGCGTTTGAGAACAATATCACAAGTTTTGGACCTCCCACGTCAAATGCTGATAATTAACGTCATCCCAGCTGCAGTCTTAGACTAAATGGATCGGGCCCATTTATATTTTTTATTTGTTTTTTTTTTTTTTTTTTTTTTTTTTAGTCAATGGACTATCTCAACGTCTCTACTTATGTTCATTAATAAAAACAATAAAATAAAATTTAGGTATAAGTCATGTTGTAGTATATCAATAAGGATACCCAATTTGCACCGCTGAAAATACAGCATTCACTATTGCCTCGATCAGAGCTAATTTGGCTACCTGCACTTCGTGTAGTAGAAGTTCTTTTCTCACCAACAAGCGTTAGCATACTTATCCCCTCCTTCTTGCTACATGGAAGAAAATATCATTTTCAATTGCCGTTATGATTGGATGAAATCGAGTTCTCCACCTGATATCAACCACCGTTGGTGGTCTTTCTTCTTCTTCATATCTTTCAAAGTATTGCATATAATGTTGGGAATATTTTTAGTTTCCTCCAATATTTTACTCAATAAAAATGATTTTATGAAATTGTGAAATGAGAAAACCAATAATCTATTATTTAAGATCATTGAATTCTTTAGTCAATAATCCGTCTGGAATGAGACGCGATATCTTTTCATCTCACCTTTAAATACAATTCATGTTAAATTTTCATTGTTAGAAAAAATTGAAGACACAAAATATTCATGTCTAATGTTGTAAAATGAATGATTGTGATGGTTAGGTAGGATGTATTTCATAGCAAAAGTGTTTGAGATTTATAAATTAAAAAAAAAAACTAGTTTTGGACATTCCACGTCAAATCCTGATAATTAACTTCATCCCAGCTATGAAAAAGAAATAACTTTCCCCAGTTCTTCATCGGATAGCAATGGCATCTCACTTGGGAAATTGTAATATCTAATTTCCACGAAATATGAATAAAAATTTGTTGTACCAAAATCACAACATGATTAATATGTTTTCTCATACTTTGTCAAACCCATTTCTTTACTTTCATTTTCGAAATTTTTATCATTCACAAGTCAACTGACAAAATATGCGATTAACATGCACATTAACATCGTAAAAGACTAGATTTGATGGCCACGTTGTCTCTTCCTAAGAAATTACATGAAGGTTAAACTAAACTTTTTGTCCCTAGACGATGGTAAAACTCTGCAATTTACTATTTACTTACGGTAACGTAATAAAGGGCAGGAGTTATCATGGGATTCTTTTCCTTGCTGGTTACCTCCTTTCTTGATGCATTTGCGGCAGAGTTTACCATGTGTAAACAAGAGGCAGTTGAGATCAAATTTAAGTTCATTTGGGATCCGCTGGTTAAGATGAAGATATGTCTTGTTCCTGTCTGCTTCAACTGGCACCCAACTCATAGCCTTTGCAATCTCAAACACCTGCATCAAGAAATTTGAGTGTCTGAAAGAATTGCATCGATGCACGATGATAAAAGGCATTTGAATCATCACACTACTCACATGTGTGTCCACGGGAAAATCGTCTTGCTGAAGTTGGAACATCAAAACACACGCAACCTATATATCATCAAAACACAAGTGTTAAAAGCCATTGCAGAGAGTGTATGTTGTATAGTTATCAACTCATACAATACAAGAAGTAGTAGAAGAAGAAGAAGATCGCGAACAAAGCCATTGCAGAGAGTACTTGTTCATTAGTGTTTGATCAGTGGAAAAAATAACTTCATGACAAAACTTGGATGTAATTTACATACAAAAGCAGCTCAATACTGAAAAAAAATCAAAAGAAAGTAAAGTATATTCTTAATACCGTTTTGGGACCGATTCCTTTGTAATGAGAGAGCTCAGCCTTAATTTCATCAACAGACAAGTCTCGCAAGTACTCCAAGCACAACTTTTCCTTTTTCTCTAGCAAACACCTCAGTAGGTTCTTAATACACGAAGCTTTGGTCCGGGCTAAGCCTCCACATCTTATGGCATCCTCTACGCATGTCGACTCAGCAGCAAGAACCTTTCATTACAAAACCAAAGCATACAATTCAAAAAACCAATGCAAGCAATGGAAAACATAAGTCTAAATCCAATTTACAAACGCAAAACCAATGCAGGCAATGAACATTGTAAGTTCAATTCACAAACACAAAACCAAACTTTCCCAACTTACTTAGCCAAAGAATAGAAACAATTTCAGCTGATAATAGTCCATAAATACTTCAAAGCAGCAAAATTCATGAAGCTGAAATTAAAGAAATTATTTTTTTGGTCTCCAAAAACCAATAAACCAAAAGGAAATTAACCAGAACAAACAGAACCCGCTCCAAAATCATGCAATCCAACCTTAAGATTCTAAATGCAATCATACCCACACAGCCAAAAAGCACAAAGCTTACATCTTCCCAAGTTGGAAAAGCGGACTTCAGACAAGCAAAAGCTTTTTGAGAATTGACTTCCGTGGTATTTTGAGACAGCAGAGTCCTCACTAGGCCATCCAAAACACTTTCTTTCAGATCGGACGGCTCTGAAATCCCGGTGCCATCGGCGTCGCGAGAAATCAGTCTCTGCTTTCGGTACTCGGCGAATTCTTTGGGGAAGCCATGGAAGGCCAAGAGGTCGTCTCGTACGGACAGGCATTCTTCTGGGGTGGGTCGAGGGTGATTCGGGTATGGGTCTTTTGCGGTCTCTTTCAAGCCATTGGAGGTTTTGGCTGATTTGTTTGCAGATTTTGGCTTCTGCTCAACCTCAGCCCGCTTTCTTTTGCCGCTTTTCGGCATTTTTGTTGCAGAAGCTCTAGGCCGTTGTATGTGACAAGGTGATCGGCGTTAATGGGCCCTGGATTTTGTTCTGGCCCAAAAGTGATCTCGATGAATTGGGCCCAATCAAATCTATCCATTAACTATTTTTTAAAGACAATTTCTCGATTTATGTGTGTAATCTTTATGGAGGGGTAACTTTTGCATGTTCGGGCTCGGGAGCCATACTAATCGTCTATGTATGGTTAATATTTGATTTAAAAATCTCAATATATTGTTAATATATGAATTGAACACAAAATTTTATTTTTCTTCAAACTCTGACCTTAAATTGCTGATTAAGACGGCTAAAAAGAACCTACCAACATCCCTGCATTGACTTGTAGCAGGGCAAAAAGGATCCATACATTTGACATTGTATTTAGGCAATAAATAATATGAGGTGCATTTGAAGTAAAACATCTGCTCACGCGTTCTTTTGACCAAAAACATATTCTCACCCCTATCATATTTTATCATTGCCTCGTTATAAGAAAAAAAAACAATTAGAACATAACACAGAAGGCTCTTTTTCCTTTTCAAATGACTAAAAGAAGCTTCTTACAAATTTAAAGGAGACAGGAAATATCGTGGCAAGTTTACTTTTTTGTTGTTTTGTTTATGTTTGGTAAAACAGTTGACATAAAATGAGTTTGATTATGTGTTGGAGTGGAGAGAAACTCTTATGTAACAGGGATATCACTTTTTGCTATTCTCGGTCAATAACATAATGACATATAAGATAACTTTTTCACGTGTCATTGTATTATTAGCCGGAGATAACAAAACAGAACTATCCCCATTACAAAATAGCTTTATGGGTTAGGGTGGGGGCAGCTAGTTATGGATGTATAGTTAGTAAGAGATAAAGTAGCAAATCTCATTTTCTGACAAACATGTAGGGTTGGTTTAGTGAAAACCCAAAAGCTATTTTGCATTATTTTGGTAATAATATATTGGGTTTAGTGGGATAAACATATTTCAGGGCTAAGCAATCTACAAGGTGTGGGTGCTGGATAGCGCCAAATTATAAAAACATTAAAACCCAAAAGGGCAGGAAGGAAGTAAGCGAAATGAGCACACCCGACCATGACAATGTTTTGCACACCAATCAAAAGATGTCAAAGACAAGAGGCCAAGAAAAAAAATCAAGACAATCAATCAAATTGCATTCATATGAACATTGCAAGTTACAAGCACAAGCAACACCGCTGTCAACCTTCTGCCAATGACCAAATGCTACTCTTTCATCCCTTTCATCATCCAATACATTAAGTTATATTGATTTTGAGCGATATTGCGCAAACAATTGATTGCCAAGAACATTAAGGGGAGAAAATTGCAATTTTATATTCATAGTGCATGGGAATTAATTAATATAACATCAGCAAATCACATTTTTTATATATTCATAATATGTTGGAACTAAACAATAACGAATTATTACAACAAAATGAGAGTTCATATAATGGAATGTTTCTCCAAATAGTTATTTTCAGTCGGAAATGTCCAACTACAAATCAGGTTTTTTGTGTTAGTAACATAGAAACCTGTAATATAGTGTAATCCCAAAAAATACTTTGTCATATTTTGTTTTATTTATTTATATTAATTACGATGATGAAAATTCCAACAAACCTCACCCATACTCCCTAAAATCAACTTCTGTATATACAAATGACCAAAGCGGTACAAACGATCAAATCAAGAAACGTTACAATCCTCTTTTATATTGGCTCTGAGATGAGATGAATTGACTTGCGATAAAATAATTGTGATTATTTCAACCCATATGAACGAGAACCACCATCAACTAAAATTATTCTTGTGATCTATTACTCATGTTCTTAACATTTTTAGTTTCCTCCAATATTTTACTCCATAACAAACACATCAAAATGTAAATTGAGTAAAAATAATAATTTCCTATTGTTTAAGGCATTTGAATATTTAGCCAATGATCCGTTTGCAATTAGACATGATACCCTTTATCATCTCCCTTTTAATACAATCCACATTCATTTCTCATTGTTATAAAGTTTGAGATGACACAAGATATTCATTTAATGTGTTGTAAAATACTTGTGATTGTTAGGCCGGATGTATATCTCATGGCAAAAGAAAAGAACAATCAATCACATGACAATTACATTTATTTATTTCTTTTTACAATGAAAGACATTCCAATGCATTTCCAAACATAATCCTAACTCATTAAAAATAATAAGAATGCTATTAAACAAACCCTAAAATTAATTGAGCACACCATAATATCAAACAATTTATTGAATTACTTATTTACTCTAATATAAAATGACAAAAAAAAGAAGATATATTGAATTGTGAAACAAATGTAATTTTAATACATACACCCTACTCACCATATTTAATCTTAATCAAACAGTCGCAATAGTTTTATCCTCTTTAACCTAACCCTTACATTGCGTTTAGATGAGGAAATTTAAAAGTATAAAGAATTTCATGAATTAGGGAATTTAAAGAGACGGAAATTAATGTTCTAGAATTTGTAAAGTTTCTTGTTTGGGTAAAATATTTAAAACACACTAATGAAGGTTGGTTAGAGTGGAAGGGGCTCTAGTCGATTAAGCAAGTGGTCTCAGGTTCGAGCCCTTGTGGATGTAGAAAACTTTATTGAGAGAGGTCCTTGCATATGCGCCCAATCATACCTCGAAGGATTAGGCCTAGGCCATGCCTGAGAATACCTTAGGAAACCAAAAAAAAGATTTAAACACGGAATTAATTATTTTTTTTGGGTGAACTTTTAGATAGAATTTAAAGTTGGGATTTATGACCTCCAAATTTTATTTCCCACGTGGAATTTCTAAACACGGGAATTAGTTTATATCAATTTAGAAATTCTGACTTTTGTCAAAATCACAAATTTATTTCCATTATCCAACCACGCTGTTTGTCTTTCATTATACAAAAATACCATCCACCACATCATCCCCTTAGTATGGAGGAAATGCTACTTCACTGAATCTGAGATTTGGTGTATTGGCTATTGAAAAATAGGTGCAGCTTCCCTCAGATGTAGTCGATTTGCCCGACACCATTTTTTCAGGAAGATAATGTCTATTAAGTTTTGGTCGATTGCTAATAATATGAACAAGCTTGTGGTTAAAGATCTTAGATGGGTTCGATTGCAGATTGTAATTTAGACTAAATTGACACGTGTTTCTCATGTGCTCAATGTCCCAGCAAAAGCAATAAGGAAAAAAAATAAAATTAAAGTAAGTCTAAACACAAACATATATTCAATTTGGAGCGATAGAAACAAATCCGCAGAGGTAACACAAGATATCAAGGTGGGTTTGTTGTTGCATGAGTGTAGAACATTCAATTAATTTTAGGAGTCGTTTAACGACACTCAAAGAAGAATAACATTATATATATTTCCACTTTGATACCATAGAATCCAAAGCAAATGAAGTAGAATATTCTTTGAGAAACTTTCCCAAATTGTATTGGCTTCCTATGCAACGCACCAACTACAATCCTCATCAAAGAACAGAAATGCCAAGGCCCAAAAAGGAAAATTCCAAATTGTACTTATCCAATCAAATCTTTTTTAAGGCAATCTATGTTCACATTGCATTCCAAAATCCTTAAACCTACTTCCAGACAATAATTAACATTACAAAACTCATTCTTACAAAAAGCAAAAACAAAAAGAAGACGAAGACCATTTCCCACCAATAATTTACACCGCTAATAGGCCCCCGCCATATTCCAACCACATCGTCAAACTCACTACCGAGTCACGACTCAACCTCGTCGACTCACCAACAATTACACTTTTTCTTTTATTAGTATTTTTTCAGCACTGAAAATTAATTTACATCCTACACCTAGAAATACAAAACCCATTTTTTTCCTAATAATTGAGAAGAAAAAAAACTAAAACGTGGTTGAGTTGGCAGTATGCACGTTCCTACCTACACCAACTCGGTACCGAGTCGGGCCGAGTCCAACTCCAGCGCCTGATTCGAGCACCGAGTCCCAATTCGGCTCGTCCTCTCTCCCTCTCATCTCCGTCAACATCCTCTTCGCTTTCTCCCTCGCCCTCTCGCTCCCATTCTTCTCAATCTCCCCCAACACCTCCACCGCCTTCGCCTCCCTCGCCAGCCCTCGGAACCGCATCGACCCGTGACTCAGCGCGTAAAGCGCCGCAACACAGTTCTCCCGAATTGACTCGGATTCCAATTCGCTCCTCCTCAGCATCCCTACCAAGCACTCCACGGCGTTGGCATCGAGCATGGCGGACCTCCCCTCGTTGCAGCTCGCTAGGTTGCAGAGAATCAGCAGAACTCGGCTCGCCGACGCCGGAGACTTGGCTAAGGCGAGCAGAGTGGGGATTGCGTTGGGTTGCTTGACGAGTTTGACTCGGTTGGTCTCCACCAGGGTCAAGTGGTAGAGCGCCAACGCCGAGTCGTGGCGCGTTCGCACACTCTCCGCCCTAACGAGCGCGTGCATGAGCGGAGGCAGCGCACCGAGCACGCCGATTGCCATCTTGTTATCTTCTTCCAGCGCCAAGCTGAAGAGCGCGCCGGCTGCGTGCTCCTGTGATTCACTGGATCCGCCCTTCAACACATCGACCAAATGCGGGACGAATCCTGACCGTACGATCTTCACCTTGTTGGGCTTCTCCAGTGACAAATTGACAAGCGAAGCCAGTGCGTTTTGCTGCACGGTGCTGTATCGCGAGACGATTAGCGATCGGACGGCTGAGAGAAGCCGAGGGGTGCACAGCGAAACCCTGAGCTCCTCCTTCGTCCTCGTGAGTTTTCTGAGTAAAATTACTGCCTCCTCCTGCTCGATTACCTCGGAGCTTCTCAGCTTTATCATCAATTGTTCCTCTTCTTCGCATCCCGGAGATGAAGAAATAGGGTTTAGGGTTTCGTCCTCGGGGTTGATTTCGGAGGACGAAGACGAGGAGTAACAAGACGGCCGAGTCGCGA